GCGTCCACCAAAAGGCAATGCAGCAGCCTGGAGAGCTGAGCACTGGAAGGGCCCTTGTGTCCTTCCTCTTTTCCCCATGCACTGTAAATGATTAACCTTATTCCTGGAATTCCCCCAGGGCAACCTCCCTCCCTTTCCCTGCAGCACCCTGAATAATCAAGGCAGGAGTGAAAGTGAAAACCAGCAGTTCACGCCCACAAGGTGAACAGACAGTTCAGCGCTTGCAGGAGACTTTTGCCTGGGACTCAGCGTCTTACTTCCCCTTCCAAGCTGCTTCATTAAAATCCCCTGGGAAACAAAAAAATTAAACAAGAAGCAAGAAATAAAACAAGATGCCAAGGAGCTTGCAGGCTGGAGGAGGATCAGCTGCCAGTGTCTGAGGACAGCAAGACGATCCTGCTGCCAGCTGACTCAGGTGAGAGTGTCTGTGTCCAGCAGGAGGATCCTGCCACATTCCCCAGCTAGTGCCAGAGTCCAGACGCCATGATGCCTGCTCTACAAAGGGCACTGTCCCACTGCTGCCATGGCAGAGGTGCCTGGTTATGGCGCTCTGAGATGCTGCTCCCACATTATGCCACGCGGGACCATTGTGGCAATGTGGCCAGTAAATCCTGCCCTTTGTCTTTCCTGCACCAGGCAGATTTCTACAGCTCTGCATCACCACAGCTGCTGTGCCAGGACTGTCACTGTTGTCCCACAATCAGACCTGGCTCGATTGGAGGCTGGATCTGCAGCACCCCCAACAGAGAGATCCCTTGAAAGGATGGTGTCTTAGCCCTCCATCCCTCCTTCTCCCCCCACCCAAGGCTTTTTAATTTCCCCTTTCCTGGAATTTCCCCTCTCAATCCCTGCTTCCTTCCCCAGCTACTACGTGCAGGTAGTGACATACACCACACCATGCTGCGGGGCTAGCCCTGAAGCTAACCAACAAGTCACCCCTGTACACATATTATTGTAGAAAACAGGGACCCCATCAGCATGCCTTTCACAGCTTACATACAGGAGGCTTTTGACAAAGCATGAGAAGAAAAACAGGAACAGTCCTGAATAAAAATTGCCATTGCTTTATGCCTCAGGGAGGAATTGATTGTGCTAGAGATTTTAGAAACAGCCCCTGCCCCAAAGAGCTTGTCAGCCACGAAGCAATCACCCACGGAAAGGTAAAAGAGATAGAGAAGCCTGACTGCAGTCAGGTCTCAACATAAAAAAGTAAAGTCTGAGGAGACACGGCTGCAATTTGGAAGTGAATCCAAGTCACGGCAGTAAAATTATAACAAAATAGGAGAGGGGGTGGCTTTAAAGGGAGGTTGAAATAGTGAAATCTCTGAGGTGATTCGGGGCTGGAGCTGAGCTGTGCATGCTCTATATTTTTACTGTGGTCAGCCTGGACAACTTGGTGTGAGGCACTGGGCAATACAGAATGAAAAGATGACCTGTGCTCCAAACAGCTGTCCAGTCTGAGACAAGAGATGACAGATGGATCCAGACAGACTGATGGAGAAGCGGGTACAGAAGGAAATCAAGTGCCTGGCACCCTAGATCTCTCTCTCTTCTTCCTGCCCATTGGGCCAGGCTGAGTCCTTCCTCAGTGATCAAGACAAGGACTGGTTAAACAGTATTTCCATTCTTCCCTGGCTCCAGAGGAAAAGCTGCTTGTGACACCCTGTTGGTAGGCACCAGTTACTCATCCCAGCCCCTTGCATTGGCTCAGCTCTGCTGGGTGGTCCCTTTTGAAATGCGCATCATGGCTCCGTTTGCTTGTAGTGCGGATCAGTGGCTAGGCTAAGTCTACTGGCCCATCTGGAGGATCATGCAGCAGGCTCTCACACTGTTAGATGCCAGGCAAGGTTACCCACTGTTATGCTCACAGCTCAAATCGGCAGGCAAAAAATAAAGTGGGGACGCTCTCCCAAGCCCCACACACAGAGCCCAACCCAGGAGGGAAGCCAGCTGGCCATGCCACTCACCAACTGTACAGGTGTTCAAAGTGTGAACACCTGCTGCATGAATGGGCATGGATGGCCTTAGCTCCCCCGCAGGGGCAGAGCCAGAGCCAGAGCCAGAGCCAGAGCCAGGGCCAGACAGGCAGTGGCATGAGCCTTGGAGCCCCGCTCACACAAAGTCATCCAGAACTGCCCCTTCCTAGCCCTCGACACTGCACAGGAGCTTGCAAGTGTAATCTGCATGTCCTGCAGTGTGTCTGTGAGCAGCCTCCTCCACACACAGGAGCAGCAATGACTAGAACAAGGGCACAAATTGCTTGGTCCCATAGACACCAGCACTCTCAGGAGCCCAACTTGGTTGGTGCAAAGGTTTGGGTACCTTGGTGGTATTATTTCCTCCATAACAGGGCTGAGATGTATTCTTTAGGCTTTATTTCTTCTCTCTGTGCTTAGGGATACATGGACCACAATGAAGTAGCGGTCTTTGCCTCAAAGTGATCTGCTTGCAGCACCCATGTGGAATGTCACTCTGCACAGTGTGCTGATCTCTGTAAAATGCTTGTTCCTCCCTTTCTCATAAGCTTTGGTCAGTTATGAACTAGTTAATCACTTAAATTACCATCACTGAGCATCTGAGCTAACAGTCCCATTGAGATGACTCAGGTAGTTTCCTTCTCTCAGAACGAGTGCTTCAGGCTCTTTACAAACCCAGGCAAACATCTTTACAGTGGTCACAGTCAGGTCATGTGTGAAGCTCTTATTGTAATCAGAAAGGCCGGAGAACTTTCCACTGGCTGGTGCCTTTGTTATGGTCCATGTCTCCCTAGGGTCTGCTATTTTGGTCTTTGGAGCATAGGCCACACTCTGTCCCCTTGTCTCAGAGGAAGTCCTGGAAGCGCATCGCAGGCTTTCCCTGCTTGTGTGCTCTTTCTCTGTATGGAACTGATGGAGCCAGAGGTATGGGGCAGAAAAGCCTGAAATATACCCTCTTAATGGATAGCCCAACCAGGCAAGAAAGGAGCAGTGTGGTAAATTGCTTCCAGTACAGAAGCTAGCATAGGGCAAGGGAGACACCTCAGCCTCCTGCTTTGTAAGTAGCAGGTCCACCATCCATGGGAAGGAGAGACTCTCACTATAGACCCTTTTTACCCAGCCAGCTAAGAAGAGACTTGTGGCCACAGAGAGTCACCTAAACACTACTAATTTGGCTTGATTCCCAGGGGCAACTGGCAATGCCACCCGCAGGCAGGAGAATACACAATCAGACCTCCTAAGAGAAAGGCAGGTGTAAGGAAGTCCATCTCCAGGTGGTGCCTTTGTCACAGGGCCTATTCTAGGACAGCACTGTTTATATCCCTATCACATGAGCAGAGCGAAGTCGAATGCTACGATTCAGCCCTTTACTAGGAAGAGAAATTGCTAGGTGACAAGAGCACAGAAAATAGTGGCAACTGCTGCCTGCCCCAGAACTCCTCATATTTTAGCAAAGGTGGAAAACTGTTTCTGGATATCCCTAGTATAGACAAGGCTCACAAGAGGCTCTGGGATAAAGATCCATCTACGAGATGTTTCCAGGCCAACGTTGGTCTATGTTTGGCTTCAAAGTGCTTTCCTGGCTACGAACGTCTCCTAGCTAAAAGGGAGGCAAGGAGGGGCCATCACCAGGAGGACTATACCTCGGTTGCTCAGGGCTGCAGGAGGGCGGTCAGGCAGGCCAAGGCGGAGCTGGAACAGGGACTAGCAACCCGGATCAAAAACAATAAGAAGTCCTTTTTTAAATACATAGGGGGTAAAAAGAAGGTACCGGGTAATGCGGGGCCCCTGCAAGACGCGCTAGGAAATCTGGTTGTCGCACCAGACAACAAGGCTAACCTATTTAATGATTTCTTTGCCTCCATTTTCCTGAGCAGGGACCAGATCAGCCTGTCCGCCGGGACCCCTCAGGCCCCAGGGGAGGTGCAGCCAGGCCCAGGGCCAGAGAGGATCTAGTCAGGGAACTTCTGGAGGGACTGGACATATTTAAATCAGCTGGTCCTGACGATCTCCACCCCAGAGTGCTGAGGGAATTAGCAGAGGTCATTGCAGGACCCCTGGTACGGCTCTATGAGCACTCTTGGTGCTCTGGTGTGGTGCCGGAGGACTGGAAAAGGGCCAATGTGGTTCCCATTTTCAAAAAAGGGAGGAAGGAGGACCCAGGGAACTACAGGCCAATTAGTTTTACCTCTATCGTGGGTAAGCTTTTTGAGAGAATTATCCTGGCGCATGTCCGCAAGGGGCCAGCAGGGGAGGTTACGCTTAGGGGCAACCAACACGGGTTAATTCGAGGCAGGTCCTGTCAGACCAGCCTGGTGGCCTTCTACGACCAGGTCACAAAATCCTTAGACTCAGGGGTAGCAGTGGACGTAGTCTTTCTGGACTTCAGGAAGGCCTTCGTCACTGTCTCTCACCCCATTCTCATTAAAAAACTAGGGGACTGTGGCATTGATGCCTACACAGTCAAATGGGTTGCTAACTGGCCAGAGGGCTGCACCCAGAGAGTGGTGGTGGACGGGTCATTTTCGACCTGGAGGGATGTGGGCAGTGGGGTGCCCCACGGCTCGGTCCTCGGACCTGCGCTGTTCAACATCTTCATCAGTGACTTGGACGAGGGGGTAAAAAGCACCCTATTCAAATTTGCTGATGACACTAAGATGTGGGGGGATGTGGGCACGTTAGAAGGGAGGAATAGGCTGCAATCAGACCTGGACAGGTTACAGGGGTGGGCAGATGAGAATAGGATGGGTTTCAACACTGACAAGTGCAGGGTACTGCACCTGGGGAGGAAGAACCAGCAGCATACCTACAGGCTGGGGAACTCCCTTCTCGACAGCACAGAGGCAGTAAAGGATCTTGGAGTCATTATTGATGCCAAAATGAACATGGGCCGGCAGTGTGGGGACGCAGTCAGGAAGGCCAACCACACCTTGTCATGCATCCACAGATGCATCTCAAGCAGGTCCGAGGAGGTGACCCTCCCCCTCTATGCGACACTGGTCAGGCCGCAGTTGGAGTACTGCGTCCAGTTCTGGGCACTGCCCTTCAGGAGGGATGTGGACAGCATCGAGAGGGTCCAGACTGGCCACCCGCATGATCAGGGGTCAGCAGGGCAGGCCCTACGAGGAGAGGCTAAGGGACCTGAACCTGTTCAGCCTCCACAAGAGAAGGCTGAGGGGGGATCTAGTGGCCATTTACAAACTAGTCAGGGGGGACCAGCAGGCACTGGGGGAGTCCCTGTTCCCCTGAGCACTCCCAGGAGTGACTAGAAATAATGGTCACAAGCTGGCAGAGGGTAGATTAAGGCTAGATATCAGGAGGTGCTATTTCACTGTCAGGGCGGCTAGGATCTGGAACCAACTTCCAAGCGAAGTGGTGCTGGCTCCTACCCTGGGGGTCTTTAAGAGAAGGTTAGATGGACACCTCACTGGGATCGTTTGACCCCAGTACTTTTTCCTGCCACAGCAGGGGGTCGGACTTGATGATCTGCTCAGGTCCCTTCCGACCCTACCAACTATGAAACTATGAAACTATGAGACAGAGTGTGCAATGTGAACTTTCGCTGCATTGTGTAACCCCTGCAGAACTGTAACCATGACAATTCGGAGCGCAGAGAACACGACACTTTGATTTCTGATTTCAGGAGCCAGAGGAGAAGTCTGAGGCTTTTCAAACTTGCTGCAGTCAGTGCTGTGTGATGTCTGGAACTGACTGTCCACATCGTGAGCCAGAGCCCAGGGCTGAATGCCTTCAGATCTCACTGCCTAAGCAGAGCAGCTGCTGCCAAACCCAAAGTTGCGAGGTAGATAACCCAAAGTGTGACAGCACAGATCTGCCTTTTTGATCTGAACTCATTTAGAATCATCTAAGAAGGAAAGATATCTATGTAATACAGATATAGAGAGCAGAGGTTTGGGGGTTCAGGACACACACCTTTCTGAACACAGCTGTGCTTTGGGGTTTATGAGATGGCTACTAATTTAGTCAACACCAGGAACTGAAGTGGAGATATATAGCCCTGAAAGCAGGAGCCTATACAGTCAGTGCAGAAGAGCCAGTCTCTAGCAGGGGACAGTAGTGCACCACACACAAGCTGTAGCTTGGGGGCAGAGAGACGAATACCAAAATGTGTGGCCAAAGACTGACTCACAAGGGAGCAATATCCCAGCACAACCCAGGCCTACTGCGTGATTCTGTTGTTTTGTTTGTTTCAGTAGTTCCCTTGTCCTTCTGAAAACTGATTATTGCCAAGATGGATGAAGATAAAAAAGAGACACCTGTGGCCAATGAAAAAAGGAAGTCTGTTTCAAAGCCAGTGTCTCCAGCAAAAAGCCCGGTGGATGAAAAAGCTGATTCTGGTTCTACAGTAAATGACTTGCTCTTGAACAGTCAGGGGGAGAAGAATGTAACAAGCCCTATAAAGGATTTTAAAAATATGTTAACCTTAACGAGAGACACTTTTGGCAGCTTGAGAAGGAGCAAACGCTTATCACTGAGAGGAAGGAGCTCCAAAAGGAACGAAGAGGACCGCCACCTGAAAGCCCCCAGCATGGAAGAGTGTGTGGAAGAGGCTGGAGCTGAGCCTGTTAAACAAGAACCTCTCTCAGGTAAGCAGTGGAAATAAAAATCAGTGTAAAAGAGTTGTTGGAGTTATAATAACAGTCAAGCAAAGCAGAACCCAAGTGCAATAGAGACTGTCCTGAGTACAGAAAGGTCTCATTTAAATGGCCAAGCACAGGGGAAAACTCACCCAGACACCAAAGGAGAGCCCAGAATAGGCTTTTCAGTGGCCATCTAAAGGCCCATCTGCACAGTGGTGGTGGCATGGTCTGGCCAGGACAGGTCTGAGACACCTTGTCCACACACCACCCCAGCCACACTCCAAAGCCAGAAATACACCAGCCAGGCTTTTTCAGGCCTCTTCACACCAGTGAGATCTGTATCAATGAAGATACATGCTTATAGTGATGCAGTCCAAAGTTTGTCAACTGGCTGTGCTCAAATCTTGTCAGTTGTGTCCATCTCCTTACCTAGATACATCAGTCATGACCAAAAGGACTAATGATAATGTAGCCTGACCTCCTACAAATATGTGCTATTGTGTCTCGCTGAGCCCCAAGAACTTGTGGTTGAAATAGAGCATCTATTTTAAGTGATATCTAAACTGATAGCGGGGGTTGACCTGATGGCTGCTCTAAAGCCCATATCTGCTGACTATTACCTCTTTAACTCAGTTTCTGGGGGCAGGCCAGTCCCACCCTGGGAGCTTTGCTGAGCACCATGAGGTCAAGCCTGCTGTCACTTGCCTCCTGCCCTGCCCCTTTCTGTAGCTGGTTGAACTTGCCCAGGTGTGCAGGCTTCAAGGACTGACAGCAATCCCACAATTCCCTGATCCTGACTTCTGACCCTTTTGTATCACATTTCCTTTCCCTACTGCCATTAAATGGAGACAATCCTGGGTGGAGAGACAAGTAGTTCATAAAAGGGCTCTATCTTACAGATAAATATATTGGGAGTGGCTTTGGTGAGGGCTACTGGGAAAGTAAGTATGTGGCTGAAGTTTCAACCCTAACTATCAGAGTAGACATACCCTTATGAAGGCATTCAATCTGGATTTAAAGATTGCAAATGATGGAGACTACACCATGCACACTGGCAAGCTGTTCAAAAGGTTAATTGCCCTTCAGTTGTCTGCCTTAAATACCCAGTTAGCAATTAGCCTTTGGCTGCTATATTAAAAAGTCATTCATTATCAGATATCTCTTCCCTGCATAGTACTTCTAAAGTGCAGTCAAGTTGCTATTTAACTTTCTCCCTGATAAATGGACTCCATTGAACTCATTTAGGTCTCTCATTGTAAGAACTTGTGTATACACAGGTTTTGTACCAATTGAACAAGAGTCACATTACAGTTAATGGGTGCAGTGCCTGGGGCAGGACTGCTGCAGCAGTATTTGAAAGGAAAGTGGAAAATGTAATTGGGGTCAACCCCTGTTTGGATTCTAATATGTGGGGCCTAACATGACCCAAACGGTGAATCAACCAATGCAATTTGGTTCAAATTGTTTGTACCAAGATGCCTTCACTTTGGCCTGGAGAGGTACAGAGCTGGCTGTGGGGCCCCTCCAGGTGCTTTTGGCATTGTTCTGCAAAGCTGCAGGGGGCAGTAATTCCTCCGAGTGGGAGGTGCCCATTTCTGAAACACGTGTGATAGGGAATAGAGAGGAAGAGTTCTTGGACTTCCCCACCCCTCCCCAATGGAAAAGCCTGAGAATTCGTGTCAACACTAACTAGTATCCAGGTTTATTTGGAACATATGGGACTGCACATCTTGTAGCATTCCTGTAAAGAATGCTTTAATAGGAAGTGTTCTGAGTTACAACAATCCTCCGAACCAAACAGAAGTTCACCGTTTGTTCCAGGGCGGAGGGGGATCTAGATGCTGGCTGCAGCCTGCAGCAATGGCCTCTGCTGCCTGTGAGGCTGCAAAGTTTTCAGAATGGGACGGGGGGAAAGGAAGAGAGGCTTGTTTTAGGGGTTCCCCAGCTGATGCTGGAGGGTGGGGTTGGTGAAATGGAGCCTGTCATCTTGAGGGAGGCTCCAATACACCCACCCCACCCTCCAGCAGGGGCTTAAAAACACCCAGACTGAAGTCCTTTCACTCCCTTTCACCCCTCCCATTCTAAAAACAGCTCAAGGCTGGCAGGCAATGCAGATAGATGTTACAGATAATGCTCTGTTTTGAAACATCTTCATCTGAGCCCTCATGCAATGAGGGGTCAGATTTTCACTCAGTTAGCCATTTTTGAAGTTGTTTGCAGCCATGCACTTGTGTTTAGTCATGGCTATAGACAGCTTTCTGTGGCCAGATTGGGCAAAAATTGTCACTTCTGTCTGTGCCCCTGAATTCCTGCATTCTTCTCTACAGCCTTCCCTCAATTTCAGCCCTGTGCATCTCCCCCTAATCTTCCTTTGCCAGGGTTCAATGTGCCTCAACCTCCTCTTCTGCCATGGCAGGAACTCTGTGTTGCCATCCCTTTCTTCTTCCCAAGCTCCCCAAAACCTCACACCAGGGACTCAGCCCTTCCCTCCTCCTTGGAAAGGTCTGTGTACCCTGGAAAGGTCTGCTTGGAGGTCTGTGTACCCTGTGACCTATAATAGGGTTCTCCATTCCCTCCCCCCCCTTACCAGGGTCCTGTGAATTCCCCTTTGCCTCCTGCTCCCTCAAACATTATTTTTTATCCAGGGGGTAAGCCATGCAGGGTGCCCACATGACCCAGTTTTACTGGGAGGACTAGTAGAGGTAGAGTATTATACAGCTGGAAGGCAGTCATTAGGACTAGGGACAGACATTACTCATAAACCGGTTTAAGCGATAAGAAACTGGTTTAAATCTGTAACAGAACAGCTGTTCAGTGCACATAAACCAGTTTGAAAATGGCTGAAACCAGCTGGAGATAGACCTGGTTGAATGTACTATCAGACAACTGATTTGGCTCAAACCTATTTATGCAATGTCTGTTCCAGACCCCTTGCTGGTTTAAGATACACCAGACTCCCCCAGCATCCCAGCATGTTCTCTGGGCTGGGTGGGGCTCTCTGCTCCACAGCAGGACTGGCCCCTCCCCTCTGCTCCCTGGCTGGAGCTCCAGCAGAGACAGCAGGCTCAGCAGGGTCTGCCTGGCTTCCCCCTGCCCTACCCCACCCCCTCACTGCTTGCTGCTGAAGCAGGGATCCCCCCTCCCTCCCATCTCCCACAGTATGGACAACAGCTCCACAAACCCTGGGCATGTGGTAAGATAGCTAATGCTGAGAAGTGCCTGTGTGTATCTCCAATTTCACTGGGACAGGAAGACAGAACAGTGACCGCTTAGGGTTTTTTGGAGCTAATCAACAGGTCAGCTGTTAAGCTACTTAAGAAGAGTTTGAATCTCTCTCTCTCTAATGGAGAGAGGCTATTGTTTTGTTAATGAGGTGATAAACACTGTTATCAGGTCCCTGTTGGCTTGCTCACCTGTCAGTTTGCTGCAGACAGTATAAAGAAGCAGGGAGAGGGAAATTGAAAAATTCTGTATCATCAACAGATGCATGCACTGCACACCCTGCCTTGCCTCAGAGTGCTAGCAGGAGGCTGGGGTCTGGCAATACTCCTGCCCCTTGAGTAGCCAGCAGGGAAAAACCTGGGACAGTGCAGGCAGGGTGGGGGTCTACACCCCTCCCTAATCAGAGCATCCTGCGAGGGCCTGACCCCACCCTCGTCCCTCCTCAGCTCAGTCCTGTGGGAAGGGAAGGGAAGGCTGATCTAGTGCCCCCTGGCTTCTAGCTGGAGCCACTGCAGGCATGTACCAGAATTTCCTCAGTCCAGAAAAAATGACTATCTGGTTACAAATCAGTTCAGCCTAGCCAGGTTAGACTAACTTTCAAAGATTGAATCAACTCAGGCTCAGGCTTTTTGAATGTCTGTCTCTAGCCTAGATGTGTAACTAGTGGGGTTTGTTCCCTGTGATCCTTACAGACGGGTGGGAGGTGCCTCTGAGTGCCAGAGGGGAAGAGGTGCTGAGCATGGGGTTTGCCCATCCCAGTTCTCACTGCAACAACAACAACACATCATGTGCCCTGGGCTGCTGCTGTTGCTGCAGCAGCAAAAGTGCAGGACTGCGTGGGGCCCTCCCTGCTCATGATCAATGTGAAATCCATGCAGCCAGACTGGTTCTCAGTAGCCACTCACCAGTGACACCACTTTGCTTTGAGATACACAACAAAAGCAGCCAGCCAGAAGGCTATTTCAGCAGAGAGAAGCCTGTGCAGCCAAGTTCAAGTTCAGACCCAAATCAGAAGAGGGGCACAGCTATAGGGTCTCACGTCTGCCTGGAGCCCCAGATTGCCCAGTATCTGATGCATTCCCCGCTGGGTGCCAATTAAACTTTCCAAGATTCCTTCTCCTGTGAAGGGTATTACTTGGAAACAAGCTGTTTGGAGAGAGATGGAAACAGTACATCAGTGAGTTCGTTATAACCACATTTCTCCTCGCTATCCAACACAAGTTAGGCAGATTAAAGGTGATCTGTTGCATATGTGCAGTTGGAATACTTGTATGCACACAGGAGGCACTTGAGAGCTGAGTCAGTCCTGCAGCCCTTACTCACACAAACCTGAATCCTGTGGTATTTTGCTGTTGTCATAAACACATTCAATATCTAAACTTAATTTAAAATCTTCTTCCTTCTCCCCTGTCACATTATTTCTGTAGTAATGGAAATAAATGAACTTATTCAGCAAAGGCAGCTTTTAAAGGCCTTTCAAAGCATCAAGTATTTGGAAGATGAAATTGTGACTGAAATGGATGGCAAGGATTCTGATGACAAGCCCACAGAATTTTCCAGGAAAGTCAAAGATGTGGATTTGCTTTACAATTCCATTGCTAATGAAATCAAGTCTATTGTGAAGAACACGCTGGATCATCCCAGTATAGAGGAAAAGCTACTGACTTTGCTGGTGGAGCTAATCGCTGAAGAAGAGAAAGCTCATGGTAGGGCAGAGGGGACAGAATCTCCTGAGCCACACTTCCTTGGCATGCCCAGGAAGTGGAGAGAGGTGTGGAAGGACTCTGTCAAAGAGAGTGCAGAAGGGCGCGTCCTTCAGGTGCCCATGACACCTGAGAAGGACAAGGATTCTTGGCTTGCTGTCCATTTAGGGTTCCTCAGAAAAAATGTTAGGGAGGATTTATTGAAAATCAAGTGCTCTGTACAAAAATGCTACCCAGAGGACTATAAAGTATGTGACACGTACGTGGAGTGCTTCCAGAATGCCATTTCTTCACACCTGCAAGGGCTTTTGCAGAGACACTTGGAATTCAATGAACTTTACGCATTGCTTGATTGGGTTGCTAACATGTACCGCAGGTAAGCTACTATTAGTTGTACCAGCTCACTCTCCTACAAATAATCACTTGGCTCTGAAACTCTGCAGGGTGCTTTTAAAGCATGAAGTTATTTTTGGTTTCCCATGTGAGTAAGACTGATGCAACCACTTGGAGTGCAGAGGAATGTTCTAATCTGATAACTGCGAAGACAAAGGTTTAGGGGTAAAAGCGCTTGCCACATGTCTACTGTATATTTCAGTTGCCATGCTTCTCTCTAACTCACTGACCTGCTGTGCTCATATACCACTTAGTTCCACTTTCAAATGTCATATTTCAGCTCTAACAAATCTCAATTTCCCCCATACGGAAATAATTTACAAAGTACAGCATCTGTTAAGAGAGCTTTTGGGGCATAGTAAGCAGCCGGTGGAACTGCCTTCTTTACTCCTTTTTCAATTAGGTTGGAAACAATCCACGCTACTTCTCTTCCCCACTGGTCACTATCTGAGCCTTGGTAGGCACTTCTACATGTGATATTAGTGCAATGCAATTCACTCCGGTATGGTTTGCACTGGTGTTTATTGCTCCTGGGCACCACGTCTACAGGTTCATCTGGGACTGCAGCATGTTCAGCTGGGTCAGAGCAGCCCCAGCTGGCAGGGAGCTCTGGGGCTGCTCCAACCCAGCCCAACATGCTGCTGAGGGGCTGGCTGGGGCACAAGTGTACTTCAGTGAGGGGCTATTCAGCAGGCAGCCCCCACACTTTTTTTTTTCATAGATTCATAGACATTAGGGCTGGAAGGGACCTCGGAAGATCATCGAGTGCAGTCCCCTGCCCCAGAGGTAGGAAGTCAGCAGGGATCATAGGATCCCAGCAACATAAACATCCAAATGTCTCTTGAAAGTGTTCAAAGTAGGTGCTTGAACCACCTCCTCCAGGGGTCTATTCCAAACCTTAGGGGCTTGGACAGTAAAGAAGTTCTTCCTTATGTCTAGCCTGAAATGGTCATGGAGGTGTTTGTGACCGTTTGACCTTGTCATCCCTTGGGGCACTCTGGTGAACAGACATTGCCCCAGATCCTGGTGAACACCCCTGATAAACTTATAGGTGAGCACCAGATCACCCCTGAGCCTGCGCTTTTCCAGGCTGAAGAGTCCCATGGCTCTCAGCCTCTCATCATAAGGTCTGTTTTCCTGACCTCTGATCATAAGTGGTCACACTGAAGTGCCCTCCTGCCCCAGCTAGTCCCATCAGCATCTACATGTGTGTTGCAGTGCACTAAATGATGCCACTGCAGGATAGTACTTGTGTTTATGAGTACTATCCTATGGCGGCACTTATTAGTTTACTGCGGCCTAATAGGGCCACACATGTAGGTGCTGAGACTTTACTGCAGAGCTAATTAGTCAACTCTGCAATAAACATCTCATGTAGATGTGCCCGGTATGTAGGATATTCCTAGGTGGAATTAACCATAGTGTGGCTCAAATGTCTCCTTACTTTAACAGGCGATGTGGGTTTCCAGTTTCTCCAAACATTATCAGTAGTGCAATAGTGGCCAAAACATGCTAGGCCCTAACAAACATGGAAGGCAGAATCCCAGGCCAGAACAGCTTATAGTCAAAATGGAAAATAGAAATATGTGAGGGGGTAGAGGGAAAGGAACCATACCAGCAAGGTGGAATTATTATGTATTTCATTATATTGATTCAAAACTGGCTCTCTACCTAATTCATTTTACAGATATCACTATCACCGCAGGGGCAGGTCTTAAGGGGGAACGCAAATGACAGTGGTAGACCAGATGATGATAGACATTCCAAGTACAGGAAACGAGACACATCACTGAAGGGAGAATGGTGAATAAATGAGCCAACTTTTGTCAGTGTCAGTCATGTCCTGTGGGTCTCCGTCACCCGGGGGCCAGTGTCTAGATTTGTGCCCCCCACCCCACCGGGACGATCCGAGCAGGGTGTGGGTCCCGAGGCAAATCAGCCTGTGTAGAGCCTTGCCTCTTGCCCCATGGCACTTCTGTGGGAGAATCTGGCCACGGAGGGGGCGGTGGCCAGAAAAGGCCAGAAAGGCAAAAGAAGCCCACAAGCCATCAGGCAGGCAGTGGGCTACACACAAAACACAGGAGGAACCCCGGTCTTTCTGGCCGGCATGCCACCCCCCAGCTGGCACCTGGGGGCCATGGCCCACTACTGCCTCCCCCCCACTCCGTTTGTATACCACTGGTCAGTATTTAGCTGGGGATTTGGGATCCTGTCTTCATGCAGCAAACTTCAAAAATATTAATTTAAAATTCGATTTCAGGTGAAAATGTTCCCTTAACTACTGCTTTTACCCAAATCTAAGATGATCTTGAATTTAAGATGACCTCCCCAATAATGAGCAATAGGTTGGCCACCCCTGAGCTAGATGATAGAGCAATACCATCAAACCAAGCCTTTCCTGATGACTGCTGATTCTGCTATCCTCCAGCAACTGGCTACAGCATTCTCCTTGGATCCCACCTTCATTCCTTATTTAGGACCAAACTCCTGGACCAGTGGCAACACATAGGGGGCTCATGGGGGTGCACATGCACCCCCTGAAAGTGCTGGTGCACCCCGATTGGCCATGCTTGCTGCTTAGGCAATGGGCAGGAGGGGCAGGTGAGAGCACCGGTGCCGCCCCCCCCCAACCAAGCACTGGCCAATTGCTGCAGCCGCTCCCAGAAGCAACCGCAGCTACTCCTGGAAGAGGATGCAGTAATTGGCTGCAGCGATCAGCTGTCATGGGATCAGCAGCCAGTCAGCAGGATTGGCCGCAGGGGACCCCCCTACACCCCACCCCCCCGGTTGGCAGGACTGGTCGCAGCAGGGGCACGTGCCCCCTCCACCGAGGTGGCACCAATGCCAATGATCAAACAGAAATCAATGGGCATTCCAAGTGCAGGTTCATACCCCTCATGGGACACTGTCAGTTCAGCTGTTTCCCACATACAGCGTTGATGCAGAGTTAGCAGTGTATGTCCTGAATTAATTGAGAATGAATGTTTACAAACATTTTCCTCTTCCTTCTTCCCCAATGCTTACCAGGAAGCAATACAGAAAGATGTAACATGAACTCATGCTTGCTCATTATATGGATGGGTTGGTTAGGTGGCACATTTGAATATTATGCAGTGTTCAATCAGATGAAGCCTAATAATGGATTTCTCATTGTGGAGTGAACAACACATCCGTTCTCCCTCCACCCCACCAAAAATAGTACTGTACCTTCCCACTAATCAGCTGTTTTGTACTGCTGGTAACTCATGGAAAAATGAGTAGCATGTCAATGGAATGCACTTTAAAGTCAAACTTCCTAGTTCAGAGTCCACCCACCTCTTCCATATGGGAAGGAAATGCTGTAGTGCCATCACTCATGTCCAAACTTGTTCGTACATGTGCGTGCTTTCCAGATCCTGGCCTTCCAAATGCCACCTGGATAACCTGACCCATGATCTTACTGTGTGCACAAGGAAGTGGACATGCAAAAGAAATACTTGGCCAGTTCTAGAGGAACATACTGTTGCTAGAATTAGCCCTAAAAAAAATGCCAGTAGCTCCCTGTGAAATGAAATCAGCATCAGGTTGTTTGTTTAAAAAAGTAAGTTCTCATAGCAGATTTCATGTCCAAACAATAACAGGCATGTCATGACTTCTGAGATGGGCTGGAACCATAACATCATTTAGATTTTAAATAATTAGGATTTTTGAATAGCAAGGAAAGGTTGCCTGGTTAAATCTTGAAAGCATGCAACACAGTTTAAGTGCCAAGTAAGTATAATAATTATGTAGCTCATGCAACATGAATATTCCATCAATTTACTCTTGCTCCACAGCAGCATAATTTGTTCATTTGAATTTTTAGTGAAGCCCTTCTGGGTTACCCTGATCTCCAACCAGAGGTAAAGACTGAAAATCTGCCTCTGCTTTTACCACCAGCAACTTGGGAAAAACTGAAAAACGACTACACTGATTCTTTAAAGGTAAGACTCTGAGGCCTGCTAGCAGATATATCTCAGGTAAGAGACAACAATGCCAGATTCAGAAGCCTCCCCATTAGAGTCTGATCCTGAAGGATGCTGGATAGCCCCAACTCTTAAAGATGTGAAGCACCCAGCACCGCACACAGAATCAGGACTTAAATGACTACGACTCCAAGATTCCTTAGGATGAACCATGCCAATCTTCCACTGGTGGGCATATGGTCTAACAACCAGCCCTAGGTAGCCAATAGCACTGGTTACGGGAGTAAGTAGTCACCACTACGCATAGGGTGGCAAGGTCAAGACAATGAGAATTCTGTTGCAGAGTTTCTCTTCAATCTTTCCAAGCTCCATTCATCCCTGAATGAAAGCCTGTCCTTTCCTATGATGTATTCTGCACACCATGTATTTATTAAAGTCTGTTTATTGATACTGACCTGTCAATTTCCCTCCTTCGCTGTTTAATATTTAGGAGAAAATAAAGCACTATTTTGACAATATCCTGAAGCTGGAGATCACAGAAAAATGGGAGAAGGAACTTCAGCCAGAAGTGGTGCAAAACCAATACAATTCATCTCTATACTTTGATATTCAAATGGTATTTGATTAGCTTATGCAAAGTACATGCTTTTCCTTTCATTCCAAGGAAACTGGAATATTACCTTGTGGTATGTAGGTGCTGCCTCCTGTGATAATTTATGTTAGTCACGCACTTGCAGAATACATTAGAAAAAGCTGCCATTTATTACAACTTTTAGCTCTGCCACTTGCCTTCTAGCTGCAAATTAAACCTGCTGTCAGTTGTGTCACTGGCATAATAGGCAACTGATTTTAAGGTCTTTAAATCTCTTTGATTAGGAATTTTAAAAAATGGTTTGTTAGAAAAGCCTCTTCGTTGAAAGAGCTACTTTGTCCCAGGGCTGTAGCAGCCACCGAAAGGCTGGAGGCAGAGTGACAGCCACTCAAATTTGAACAGGAAAAACCCCCAAAAGCTTTTACTAGCTTTAGGGAGCACAGAGTAATAAAGCCAAGAGAGTTTGGATTCATTTTCATGACTTACAAAGGATTGAGTCATTTCAATTGAATAATCCTAAAGAAAAGAGAGAGAGAGAGAGAGAAAGAGCACGAGAGAGAGAGAAAATCAAAGATTTTTTTGCCTACTGCTGTGACTCATTTTCCATAGAAGAATTTTCTACATTTTTTTTGATAACCATGAAGGCAGATGTGAATCGGAGTAGCAGATGGGTAAGGATGTTGGGAAAGGCAATAGAATAAGATTGTAGCTTGTCTGACTTTCGAGGCACAGCTGAAATTGCGTGAATAGGGATTAGGAGGGACCAGGGAGAGGATTGCAGTAGTCAAGATAGGAAATGACTCAAGCACAAATGGGGATTTCTGAGGTGCGGGCCCAGATTCTCACCTGCGGCTAAGGTGCACTCTGGACAGTCAGTGTGGAGAGTAAGGCAGTTTTTGGTTATGTTGGGCTGCGGGACTAGCTGGAGTGCTTCTGGATTTTTACCAAAACTGGCATAGAATAATGAAAAAAAGTCTAGTAAATATCTTAGTGCTTCCACCGGGATATATGAATCACTCCCATTCACACTAATCCAAGTTACACAAGTCAGGTGGATGAAGGTGATTCCCCTGTACTTGTCCCATTTATTGGATTCTTATCACACCATGTTCTAGATCATTGCAGAACACATGAAAACATCAGGAAAAATCTCCACAAGGCTGGGAACGGCAGTTCTTGAGATCTGTTTGGTAGATCTGAAGGAATACATCCCACGGTAAGTGCTGCTTGCAGCAACAGATTCCTTCCAAAGTGAGGACCACATTCCCAAAGGTCAGGAGAGGTATCCATAGCGTAGGGTCCAACATTAGCATCATCTGGCATACCTGTGCCTGTTGCTGAGAGAACTCCAATTCATTGGAAGCATGACAAATTTAAAAGAGGATCTGCAGAAAACCCATATATACAATAATAAACAGACAGATGGGAGAAATGCATGTCACCCATATATTTGATATCAGAGCTCCAAAAGAGGAACTGTTGGCTGGAAAGGACTTTCTGCCAGTATCTTATCTTTTCAACATGCTCCAACTGTTGTATGCAGAGCCTGGACAACAATTAAGCACCTACCCAAATGAGGCTGTAGAAAGGCACAGCCTGTAATCCTGCATTAGCCTGAGAGCTTTGCCATTAACTTTGATGGGTGCAGAAGCAGGCCCAGAATTCATGACTCATTTCTAGCCTGATGTCTGAGTCTCAAATCACTGCAGTCCAGTTCAAGGGAGTAATTTATTCTACCTCTGATGACATAACATCCTTTCCTCGTGAGAGTAGCCCCGAGGGTCATGGCTAGATGTCTGCATTAAAATGCAGCTGCCAGTGTTCAGGTCCCATTGAATGTAGCCCTCTTCATCCTCCCATGGGGGTGGACACTTCCAGGAAAGATAGTGGTTGCACAAAGGAAACAACAATTTCTCATCCTGAGACATCTAATTGCCTCCTCCTATCACACATGTTGGATTGTACTGAGAGGAGAGTTATGCTCAGGTTTCAGATCAACACTGGCATAACAAAGGAGAAGGACTTTTCAGCATGAATCAACTCCATCCGAGACTAAAAGTAATTTTACATTAACCTTTGCAATTTCACACCTCAGGAATGAGCCAAGTGGGTAGTTTACTAATAAACGTTTTACAAAATCAAGTGTGGGAGAGAATGAAAATTGCTTTCTTGAATGTGAAGTCGTAACTTTCTGTGAGGCATGACAGATATTTAAAAACACTTAAAAGCAACATGTTTACCCCTCCAAAATCTCATTTCCCATACCCTAACTACCCCAGCGAAATCCAGATTAGTTTACATGAATTGTGTTTACAGGGGGTTCTTTTTAAGAAGTATTATGATTTTGCAATTGAAAGTGATTAATCTAAGAATATTCCTTTCCTTTTAATTCATTTCTTAAACTTCTGTAGCAAAATCAAACTACTTTTGGTGGAGTTAGACCTCGATGACGTTGGAGGTCCCTTCCAAATCTTTGAGTTTATGATTAAACAACTAAGGACCTAAAGTCCCTATAGTGATAGGGGGACACAGGTTTGCTCCCTTAATTACGTTTTCTCGTATATTATGTGTGTTGGGGCAAAAGGACCATGTTGGTCTAAACAAGATAACTTTAGATCAACAGAGCAATAAAACACAAAAGAATGGAAGCTAAATCCGCAGTGAATATGGGGAATATTTGTCTCTTCCAATTCTCTCTATAAACTTGAATGTAAAATGGAGCCTATCTTTAGCTATCAGGATCCTCAAAGGTACAGAGATAAAAAACAAATACTGATACCTCATACACCATGCTGACAATACACAGTGAAAAGCTAAGGGGTGTTGCCTTGCTTATGTTGTATTTCTGGTATAGAATGAGCCCTGAGCTAAATCCCTTGCATGTTAGCTGAAGTAGTACACATTATACTGCTCCAAAAGCCAGAAAAATGACTGGAGTATTTTGTGACCCTGCTTATTACTAATTCATTTAATTGTCCACAGTTAAAGACTTCAACCTATGCCCTTTCATGTGTACAGATTTCTGGAAGCTGGAATCTGAACCATGCTGATGACAAATGAGCACATTCCAGATAATACTGTATATTTGGGTATAATGTATATGTATCTTGTTCCCCACCCCTATCCCCCAGTAAGACACACAAAAAATTTGTGCATATAGAAGAAAACAGACAGGTCTGGCAGTATGTTTGCCTCATCAGGTTCATCAACATGAAATGTTGTATTGTCTAAGAGGACATGTACACTGCTTTGCTTCAACTAACTGCAGCTACTTTCTATTTTAATTAATGTTGCAGATTTGTAAAGGTTTTTCTGGAGTGGGACAAAGAGAAAGATTTCTCCTTGTTTCTGCCATATTTAGCAGCCTACATCAACAGTTTCCACGATCTGATGTAAGTCTGAAGTTCTCTTATAACAATTTTTGGGTTTGGAGAGGGAGGGTGGATTTTTGGTGGGTCTCAGAGTTAGAAAAGAAGGAATACGTTAAGGCCCAATAGAATCAATGGCCCCAAATCAACCTGGGTATAAGTGAAGTGAAAGAATGAAGTTACACCAACAGTGATTTGGTCCTCTGAGGATTGCATAACAGTGCCCATAGCATTTAGCTGATAAAAGCTCAGTTTGTCCTAGGGATGAGGATGGAGCAATAGAAAAACATTTGCCATTGAGATCAAGGGGTTAGATTCAGGCCCAGCTCTGGTCTGTTCTTCCAAGCCATTTGCAGATCTCAAAGAATCCTCTTTTTAGTTTAAAGTCTAATAGTGTAAAATCAGCCACTGCTGCTCCTTTTGACCTTAGGAGGGAAAAATATCTGGAGAATGCACTTCGTTTGCAAAGGGTGTGGGCTGTAGCCATGTTAGTCTAAGGACATAGGCAGACAAAGTTCTTTGGGTGAATCTGATATCTTTTATTAGACCAACTTAAATAGTTGGAAAAACATTTTTTTAAAAGCAAGCTTTTGGGTTTAAAAACACTTCGTCAAGCTGAAGAAGTTTCAGCAGTTGGGATGAAAAGTCCAGGAAGAGCACACACAAACTGCTGAAATTTCCTCAGCCTGACAAAGGGTTTTTAAACCCAAAAGCTTGCTTTTAAAAAAATGTTTTTCCAACTATTTAAGTTGGTCTAATAAAAGATATCAGATTCACCCAAAGAAC